CAATGGTACTTCAGTTGCTTTCAATGGTGTCCTGGAGCCAAAGAACATATTTCAGTCATATTTTTATTTTCCTCTCAAGCAATAGAATGAAAAAAATGTTGTTAACTCATGCAGATCACAGCTAGAATTTTATAAAAAGTGTGATTTCTAAAGAATTCCAATTTCATGTGACGACAATATTAAAACTTTGAAATATTAACATTGAAATATTATTGCAGTGTGACAATTATAGAATTTTATAGTTAAACAAAATTTCAAAACTTTTAGAGTATTTCTGTGCCTGTACCTTTTCACCACCAGACTTTCTCGCCCAATGTTTTCTGCACTTTTTTCTTGTATTCTTCAAAATTTCTGGAAATTAACTTTAATTTTAGAGCCAACAGACAAAATTTTAGTCAATTTTCAGTTTTACTCAAAAATTTGCCTATTTTTTCCAAAATCTTCTGAAGGAAATTGCAGACTATAAAAGGGACTATTTTGTGATGAAAAGAGGGAACTGGTGGTGAAAAGGTTAACATGTAACACATATACTTGCAACACAAATGTATAATGTAGATAAAAGCAGATCTGAGCTATTCATGGTGACAGATAATCAACTTGCATTCCTTTTAAGGATATGTAAATTTTCCTGTCAATTAGTTCTGCTTTCATCATTGCATGTGTTCTTGTGGTGTTGCTGAAAATTGTAAAGTCTTATAAAATGGGACATACTGCAAACCATGAAATTTTTACCATTTTAGTATTTTATGGCATTTGTGCAGAAAAATTTTCTTGAAAGTCAATGACACTAAGTAAATTTTCATGATTTTCAGTGACTCGCAAAATTCACAAAAATTTCTATGAACTTTGTGAGTCATATTGTGTAGCAGTGTTTCACTGGTAGCTTCCGTGAAATGTTTTCCTCACAAATGGCCCTAATTAATCTAAAATTAAAATTCAGTGAAAACATATATTCTTAAGGGTGCTTGAAATACTTTAGTGGAATTCCATGTTATAAAACATGGCATGTTAATTCTCTACTACCATAGTTGAAACTTCAAAAACAAACTGACAATCAGATGTCTGAGCTTTCACTCTGATGATGTACATTGTAGTTCTGATCTTTTTTGAAGTATTACCCCCCCAAAAAAAAAAAATATGTGTTACATGTATTGAATCGCAGCTTTTCAACTCTCTCCATTGATTCAATTTCATTAAAATTGTTGTGATTGACATTGAGTAATAGCTGAAAACATGACATTGCAGTGACTGTTTAATTTTCTATTGCACTGTTTATGCATTGTTGTCAGAAACTGTTTTGAAAAACTGCTTGAAAGCTTGTGTGTGTGTGGGGGGGGGGGGGGGTTCTGATTAAATTGCTGCTATGCTTTTGAATTGTATTTCCCTACAATATAAACTCTTGGCATCGTTTTAATTCGTAAAGTAAGCACTGACCGCTAATTGAGTTATATCGTTTACACAATAATGCATGCAAAGACCCGCTGGTGTCAATTGAGCTGCACAGATTGTCCAAAAGAAAATAAAAAAAAGGGATTGAAACTAGACCTTAAATTGCTTGGGTTTCTCTCATTCGTTTAAAGAAATCAACACTAGTAAAGTAATGTACCGTGAAGCTTGTTTTGAAAAGTAATTGCTGAAATTGCGCTTCTCCCTGTTGAGGAATCCAGTAAAATGGTTGGCCGCAAAGCCTGTATTTTTTTTGTGATGGAATGTACCTGATTATGTTCAATCAGATGTTTTGCTTTGGATACGGTTTGGAAATTGAGAAGGAAATTCTATATAGTTAGTAATACCAACCCAAAACACTGGCTCGATGATTGTGATGATTTACCTCTTGCTTGACACAAGTCTTGTTGTGATGCTTATTACTGGTCACTTTGCTTAAACCATTAAGTTTAATACATTTGCTGAGTTGACCACTTCAGTACATCAATCCTATTGCCATGGTGATAAGTAGCTTCATGGATGGCATCATTTTAGGTGAAATTTGATGTAAAAAGTGTGTGTTAAATTTGATGACCATGATTCAAATTCAACTTTGTGTTGTAGTTTTACAGAGTATACATGTATTTGTCATAGGTAACTTGTTCCATTTTCTGTTCAATGATGAATTTTTTCCATTTCCAATGTGTGCTTTCACAACTCTTCCCACAATGCATCATGATCAGCAATAGTTTGTGATTTTCATTCTAATTTTGAAGCCAATCAGCATAGCTTGTTTTTAGGTCCATTTGTTTCACCATTAACAAATGAATAAATGTGAATTTTCTGTCTGTAAATTATTATGTTAATATTGTGTGGAAAATAAAAAAAAATGAATATCAATTTGTTACATTTTTGAAAAAAAAAATGTATTTATTTATTCAAAAGTACATGTGCTATTCAACACCATATGACCTCATGGTTTTCCTGTGTTTTACTGATTTGTATACCTTGGAGAATGGGGAATAGTCCACTGTTTATAATACTTTTTTCAACCCCCCTTTTTTCAAATGTACTAGCCCACTATTTCCAATGATTTTCTTATCCCAAGAATGGATGCTTTTGCAGTGGTGTTTTCCTGCTTATAATACTACTAATTTGCATGTATCCTGTCATACCAGCGTAGTCCGCCCGAAACTAACCATGTAATACTAACTCTTATTATTTTGGCTTTATTTTAATAGCCAAGTAATGAACGGCTTGCCAAGCATGGTTATCTAAGGATGGTGAGTTTTATATTGTTTGCATGAAATTTAATTTTTACTTTAATTATTATTTGCGAACACAGTATTTTATCTAATTCAATGGGGACTACGATGTTTGTTTTCAGCATTTTTTTTTACTAACTTCCGTAACTAATTTACCAAATTTTCAGAGTTGCCAAGCAAAGGTCATTATATGGTTGTTTTTTTTGTAAAACCAATTAGACAATAAATTAAACAAACATTTGTTATAATTTTATTCATTGTTTTTTTATGTTCACAGCAGACTAACCCGACAGTACAGAAAGACGTCATGACACACCCGCAGCAGAAACTTCCCTCGTAAGTAACTGTCAAGTTTACTTTCCTGCACCTATATCGAAGTAGATTTCACAAAAGGATTTTGTTTTGTTAAATGAAAATGTAAAAAAGAAAAAATGCAATTGATATTTTTAGTTTTTTGTTTGTTTTCTAACAAACACAAAATAATAATGGTTCATAAACTTTCTTAGTAGGAGAGAAAATGAAGACTCTGTGCAACTTGATATTATTTACATAACTGATCGAATAATTGGTGAGTAGCATGATCATTTAATAGCAATTTAATAATTTCGTTATTTACTGTAAATGCATTAATTATTCACTGGTTTTTATTTTTGCTATTTTCGTTGATAAGTAAAATACACTAAATTTAATTCATGTGAATATGTGCAATAGCACTGGAACTCAGTTCATAAGTTTAAAACTCGGTGAAATTGCTCAAAATATCAAAATAGTGAAAGTAAATGCCAGTGAGAATAAATGGTTTTGCAGTACTGGTGTGGGACCAACATTTGATAATGTCTCTTTATCCTTGCATATTAAAATATTTTGAGTTGAAACTCATAGTTTATCTTTATTATATGTAGTACAACACCTCATGTCAAGTTTTGAACTTGAATTTTCTAGTTTTTCGTTTTTGTTTGTGCTTTTTTGAGGCAGATTGAGTAAGCATGAGTGATGATAGTGGCCATGTGATTAAAACTGACCAATAAGATAGCTGATCTAGAATGAATAATCCTTGCCTGGAATCATGTGATTGAAATGAACCAATAAGAGTATTGAGCAGTTGTCATGTGATTGGAACTGACCAATCAGATCATGTAATAAATCTTAATTTCTTCACAGCCTTATCCTTTCCAGCTAGTGGTCATGAATTGCTTTATAGGAATAACTTAAAAGATGCAGCTAGAACTTTAAAAAACAGACATCAAGAAAAATATCTTGTTATAAATTTATCGAAAAAAAGATGTGATCTTGTGAAATTAAATAATCAGGTAAGTTTGATCAGATTGTGCCCCTTCATTCTGCATGATTACCACTCATTATTTGTGACATTTTGGAATGTTCTTAATGTTGTTCTGTGTGAGGGAGAAACCATTCATTGAAAATAGGTATGTATGAGTGTATTCTGGAGATTGGTGATGGGTGGTGGTTGTTTCTACCTAAGTTTCCATGTACCTTTTCCAAACAGCACCAAATCATTGTCTTCAGTTTTTTTTGAAATCCTGATCTGTAGATCTCGTCTACTGTTATCTAACAAAATTATTTTGACTCCTTAGGTACTTGATTTGGGATGGCCAGACCACCTAGCTCCTCCATTAGAAAAACTGTGTAGTACCTGTAAAGCCATAGAATCATGGCTGTCAATGGACCCACATAATGTAGTTGTTCTACATACAAAGGTAAAATTAAATACTATAGAATACTTTGTTTTCGCTTGGAATTGATTGATGATTCCGTGAAAATAAAATCCAGCGAATATACTTTTTTTTT